ACATTTATTAATAATTTTGAAATGCATGATGTACATTTTTGTATCCTTCACTCACTAGGGTTTCAAAGATATTTACTTTTTGAAGTTGACATACATCTTTTGAATATGTGATGCTACCTGCAAAATTAGTTTGGCTAAGCTTCCAATCATGTGATTGGAATAAAAGATAAGTCACTTTTCCCTATGTTCCGATAATGTATCTGGATTCCTCTACAACTTGCATGGCAGTCTCTGCCTCAGAGGATTTAGTTTATTTGCGCTGCCTTTATGGTCCACAGAACCGACCTTATTTATTCATCTTAACTATTAAGTAATGATCCAAACAGTTAGTACTTTGAGGAAAATACCTAAGTTAAAAAGATAATACTGAGGAATCCGTTGTACTTAGAAGAAAAAGAGAAACATGTTGTGTTTAATAAAGTTAGATTAGTTCAGTTTTTTTTTTAAATAAACTAAGGTATGGAGAAGTTGATTTAAGGTTTTAGTCAGAACAATTTAACTCTGATATAAAGCTTATTTTAAAAATGTATATGTGCCTAAAAATAAAATTATTTGAACCTGATTGGTTAAAAACTTATGTAGGCAAAGAAGAACAAACCAAAATTAGTAGAATAAAAGATATCATAAAAGAGAAATAGAGAAAACTGAGACTAAAAAAAAATTTCAAAAGATCAATGAAGTGAAGAGAGAGTTTTTTTTTTTTATAAAGAGGTAAATAAGACTGATGAACTATTAGCTAGATCAACAAAAAGAAGAAAAAAGAAAAAAACCCAAATAAATGAAATCAGAAATGAAAAGGGAGATTACAACTAACATAGAAGAAACACAAAGGATCGTTAGTGACTGTTAAGAATAACTACACACCAAAAAATTGGGGAAAACTTGATAAAGATAAACTCATTGACATATACAACTTACTATGATTGAATAAGAAAGAGAAAACTTGAACAGATTAATAACAAGAAATGAGATTGAGTCAGTAACAAAAAAAGTCCAACAAAGAAAAGTCTATGATCAGATGGCTTCACTCCTGTACTCTACAAAACTTTTAAAGAACTAACACTAATTCCCCTCAAAGTTTTCTGGAATATTGGAAGGGACCGAATTATCTCAAAATTCTTTTACAAGGCCAGCATTACCCTCATATCAAAACCAAACAAAGACACAATGACAGTAAAAACCACAGTAAAAAAATGTCACTGATGAATATAGATATAAATATCCTCAACAAGATATTAGCAAACTGAAATAAACACATATTGAAAAGATTGTACAGCAGGATCAAGTAGAACTTATCCCAGGGATGCAAGGATGATTCAATTTAGGCAAATCAGTAAATGTCATAGAAACAGAATAAATGATGAGAGACTCAACTCAATTCAATTCAGGAGACACAGAAAAATATACTCAAGATACACAGAAAAAGCACTTGAGAAAATTCCATATTCCTTTGTGATTAAAAACTCTCAACAAACTAGGACCAGCAGTTGGTGTAATGACTGTGTTGCTGGACTCCCATGTAGTAGACCACGGTTCGAGTCCCAGACCTGGTGACTTAAACTCACACCAGGTGTGTGTGCGTGCATGCCCAAGATCCCAAGAGGAGAATGGAGGAGAAGATATTGTGGTGTAGCCATCGCCCTGAAGGGGTGGAGGTGATTTTTCATTTTCCCTTTCTGTCTCTCTCCAGCGAATGCACATGCCTTATGGACAGAACAAAACAAAACAAAACCAAAAACTAAAACCACCCCACCTCATTTATAGTAGCTACAAAACAAAATAAACAGAGCAAACAAAAATAAACAAAATAAAACTAAACAAAAACTTTTAAATATAGGTTTATATTTAGCCAAGAGGCAAAAGACCTCTGTAATGAGAACATAAATACTAATGGAATAAGACTCAAAATATTGGAAAGATATCTTGTATTTTCAGATGAGGAAGCTGAGTCCCAGAGAAGATGAAAGGACTTTTCCCAACTTTTGATGGGAAAAACAGACATTATTAAAGTTAATATGCTGTTCTAAGCAATGTGCAGCTGCATTGTAATCCCTATCAAAATACCATGACAATCTTCAGAGAAATAGAAAAAAAAAACAGCTCTAAAATTTGTATGAAATTACAAAAGACCTTTAATAAAAAAGTCAATACTATGCAAACAGAACAAAGCTGGAAGTATCACACTATCTGATTTCAAAACATAGTACAAAATTACAACAACCAAACAGCATGAGACTGCATTAAAACGGACACTTAGACACAGGTATGAGAATAGAGCCCAGAAATATAGAGAACCCAGCAATAAAGAGAACCCAGAAATAAATCCACATATATCCTGCCAGTTATTTTTCCATTAAAGCATAAAGAATATACATTGGTGAAAGGACAGGACACTTTAATAAATGCTGCTGGGAGAACTGGATATCCATATGCAAAAGAATGAAATTAGACTCTCAAGTTCCCGTGTACGATTATCAACTCCAAATGGATTCAAGATTTAACAATAAGAAAAACCAAAAACTACGATGCTTCTAGAAGAAAATCTAGGGAAACCATTTCAGGACATTGGAATAAGGGAAACCATTTCAGGTCATTGGAATAAACCAAAATTGTATGAATAAGATCTCAAAAGTGCAAGTTAAAAAAGCTAAAGTATACAAGAGACTGTAACAAACTAAAAACCTTCTACAAAGTGAAGGAAAACATAAGAAGTAAAGAGGCCCCCACAGAATGGGAGAGCGGATTTGACACTTTATCTGAGAAGTGATTGATATCCATAATGCCCCAGGTATTCAAATAACTCAACAGCAAAAATACAAATCATCTGACTAAAAAAATAGGGAAGTGTTCTGAACACACACATTTTTTTTAAAGACACACAAATAGCCAACAAGTTTATGAAAAAGTGTTCAATATCACTAATCAGGGAAATTCAAATTGAAACCATGATGAGATATCACTTCATTCCAGTTGGGATGGCTATTATCAGAAAGACAAAAAAAAAAAAAATACTGGTGAGGATGAAGAAAAAAGGGAACTCTTATACATGATAGTAGAGTTGCAAATTGTACAAACCTTATGGAAAATAGTGTGCAGGTTTTTTCAAAAAAATTAAGAATAGGGCTACTGTGTGATCCAGAATATTCACTACTTGGTATATCTCTAAAAGAAAGAGAATCAGTGTGTTGAAAGAGATATCTGCACCCCCATGTTTATTTCAGCACTTTTTGTTTTTAAGAAAGATTTTTGCTATCGGGCGTATACACTCACTAGAAAGACAGAGAGAGACAGAGACAGACACAGAAAGTGAGAAATCAGCCCCAGGGGTAATGGGTACACCTCAATCTCTTCCATTCTCATCTTGGGATCTTGGGCATGCATCCACACACACCTGGTGTGAGTTTAAGCCACCAGGTTCGGAACTCAAACCGTGGTTGACTACGTGGGAGTCCAGTAACATAACCATTATACCATCTGCTGGTCCTTATTTCCGTACTCTTTAACAGTTGCCAAGATTAATGAATAATAATAAACCAAAAAAGGCATATATACATGGAATACTATTCAGCCATTAAAAAAATGAAATCCTGTCATTTGCAGCGACATGGATGAGTCTGGTGGATGTTTTGCTAAATGCAATAAGCCAGGCATAGAAAGAGAAATACGCATGTTCCCTTTCATAGGTGGAATCTAAATATTTGATCTCACAGAAGTAGAGAGTAGAATGGTGGTCTCTAGGGGCTGGGAAGGGGATGTGGGAGAAACAGTAGGGAGAAATTGATAAACAAATCCAAGATGACACCTTAGCAGGACCAGGTAGTGGCATAGCAGTGAAGTGAGATGCACTGAGGCAGATAAATCCACATATATCCTGCCAGGCCGTTTTCCATTTCGGAAGATTCTGGGTTGTGTCTGGAGATCTCCCTGAGTGTGCATGGGTCTAAGCGGGCTGAGGCTTAGATAGGATTACACCATCACATTTGGAACTCTTGGGGGTGCTATGTCTCTGTCTCTCTCTGTCTCTCTCACTCATGGGTTAAATAAATAAGCTTAAAATATTATACCTACATAGGAGGAATGAGTTCTAGTGTTCAATCACACTAGAATGAATACGGGTAACAATTTCTTACATGTATTTTGAAATGTAACTAGACAAGAGAATTGTAAATGGTCCCAGCACAAAAAAATGATAAATTTTGCAGGGTTAGATCTGCTAGTTATTTTGATTTGATCATTACACATTATATACATGTATCGAAATAGCACTCTATAACATAAATATGTATGATTATTATTTGTCAATCAAGTATAATAATGATGAAAAAAATTTAACGGGTAGAAACAAATTAAATTGAAATATTAGGCAGGCATGATAGCAACTTTTGTAAATGATTGTTTCTATATTATTAAATTAGTTATACCCTGGGTTTGTTTGTTTGTTTTTGTGGAGATTTTTGCTATAGGGCACATGTTTGCTTGCCAGAGAAACAGAGAGACAGAAAGTGACAAATCACCCCCCCCCCCCAGGGGGATGGCCATGCCACAATCCCTTCTCCATTCTCCTCTTGAGATCTTGGGCATGCATGTACTGCAGACGTGCCCAACATGAGGTTTAAGCCACTGGTCCGGGACTCAAATCATGGCCAACTCCATGGGAGTCTGACATAACCATTGCTGATCCCGACAAGTAACTGAATTTCTAACATTTCCATAGTGCTTTTAGAATTTTGATTTTGAGCATACAACTATTAAAAATATTGAGACTAGGACTAAAAAAAAAGCTTTTATTTGAATTTCATATGATAATGTAGTATAAACATGAGTAATTCAATACAACCCCCATTGTTTAAATTGAGGGAAATTGTTTGGTGTATTCTTTAAACAGTTACTGATTTTTTTGTTGGCTTCTAACTTCTGCCTTGTATTTGTGACATTTTCATTGTTTATGTGCCTAAAGTCTGATGAATACATTGTAAAACGTTTTTTCTCCTCTCAAACAGTTTTGATGTCGTATTTGCTGGTGGTCCAGAAGAAGTTCTTAAAAAGTTTCAAAAGACAAATCATAAAGTGGTTTTTGCAGCTGATGGAATTTTGTGGCCAGATAAAAGACTAGCGGACAAGTATCCTACTGTACATTTTGGGAAACGCTACCTGAATTCAGGAGGTAAGATACTGGGAGACAAAATGCAAGACATGTTGACAAACCATTTTTCTTCCTGTAGCTATAGGCTTAATGATTTAAGTAATCATAATCTTGTTATACCTCTGGAAAAATAATGTCAGTTTAAAATTCACAGGGCATTTTGTAGTTAACAAAGGAACATCTGGTGGATCTACTGCAACACCATGCATTTTACAAGTTATTTTCACATTATAAGTAAGGAAGCTGTATTCTCCAAATGTAAGTGACTTTTCCTAAAGGCATTTGTTAAGGGAAAACATGGATCCACAACTTCTGATTACAGTTTCATTGAGGATTTTCTGGCTACAGTATATAAGTTTCCTTACTTGAGAAAAAGTTCATTTGAGTCTGCAATCCTGTAGCTTTTAAACAGGCGTTGCTTAATTTTATCTATTTTTTTAAGAGAGGTTTTTGCTATACGGCACATGTGCTTGCCAAAAACACAGACAGAGAGACAGAAAGTGAGAAATCACCCCTTGGGGAGATGGCCATGACACAGTCTCTTCTCCTTCATTCTCCTCTTGGAATTTTGGGCACACATGCACATGTACCCAGTGTGAGTTTCAAGCTACCAAGTCTGGGACTTGAACTGCAGTAGGCCATGGGGGAGGCCAGCAACATAACCATTATGCCATCTGCTAGTCCCAAGTCAGACATGCATCATTTAACATCAGGGATACATTCTGAGAAATGTGTCATTAGGCAATTTATTGTGCAATCATTATAGAGTGTATTTACACAAACCTAAATATTATCACTTAGTATTTACATAAACCTGGATATTATAGCTTACTCCACACCTACTCTATGGTATAGCCTGTTGCTTCTAGGCTACAAACCTGTGTGGCAGGGTTACCCAAGCCCCAGGGTGCGAACTGGTGCCAGTCTGTGACCTATTGCGGGCTGGGCTGTGGATTGATCCATGGCCTATTGTACCCCCTACCTTTTTGAACCAGGGTTGGGCAGCAGGCAAGCCAGCAAAGCTCACTCTGTGTTTACAGTCAGTCCCCATTGCTTACATTGCCGTCTAGGCTCTGCCTCCTGTCAGATCAGCAGCTGTATTACATTGTCATGTAAGTGCGAACCCTGTTTTTGTGTGATTATTTCATTGTATGCTGCAATGTGGTAGTGGTGGAAATGGGGTGCATGGTGGATGTGGTGTGCTTGAGTCATCCCAGGACCAACCATCCCTCATCTGTGAAGGGAGTATTTTCCACAAAGCTGGACCCTGGTGCCGAGAAGAGGCGACTGCAGCAGTATAGTATGTTGCTATACTGAATACTGTAGAAAGTTACAATACAATGGTAAATATTTGTGTATCTGAACATAGTAAAGATACAATAAAAGTATGGTATAAAACATGGTAAGCAAGATGAATGAGGCTGCTATTATAACACTGTTTTAGAGTAAACATTTTTTATAAATAGGAGTACACTCCAAAAAAGTGATTAAAAAATATGGTAAGTATAATAAATACATAAATATATAACCAGTAACATAGTTATGTATTATCATTATTGAGCATTATGTCCTGAACTTAATTGTCTATACTCTATTTTTATATGACTAACAGCACAGTAGGTTTGTTTATGCCTGCATCATCACCAACTCATTATTTAGTGAATATTGGGTTGCACAATAATATTATGTTGGTTTCAGCACCACTAGAGGAAAGGAGTTGTTCGGCTCCATTAGAATAGTATGTAAGACTACTGTCTATTTTTTTTTTTGTTTTTGAGAGGTTTTTGCTATAGGGTGCATGCGCTCACCAGACAGAGAGAGACAGAGAGACAGAAAGCGAGAAATCACCCCCCGGGGGGATGGCCATGCCACAATTCCTTCTCCTTCATTCTCCTCTCGGGATCTTGGGCACGCACGCACACGCGCCCGGCATGAGTTTTAAGCCACCGGGTCCAGGACGCGAACCATGGTAGACTATGTGGGAGTCCAGCGACCCAGCCATTACACTAGCTGCTGGTCCCAAAGACTACTGTCTATATGTGGTCCATCACTAAACAAAAGGTCATTATGCAACACCCAAGTGTGATTTTTAATACAGAAGTGTAAATCAGGTAAAAGCATATTGTATGAAAGTAAATATAATTATTTCTTCATCTATTCAAGGAATTATTTAGTATTTATTTATTTAGGATTTCTCAGAGGTCATGTGTGCTCACCAGACAGACAGGGATGGAGAGGGAAAAAGCACCCCCTAATCAGGGCACGGTCATACTACAAGCTATTCTCTTTAATTTCTCTGTCCTTTGGGGTTTTGGACATGCTCACACGCTTGCTCCAAGTCACCAGGTCCAGAATATGAACTGCACGGTTGGCAATGTGGGGGTCCGGCTCCCTTAACCATTAAGCCACTGGCTGGTCTACAATTTAGGGTTTATGAAATATTAGCTTGTTGGGAAAGTCATGATATATATATATTTTTTTTTTCTGTGCAAAAATATGTCATGACTTTCCAGACAACCCAATAGATAAGAAAACAACTTTTGCAAAATAGTAACATAAACCATTGGAAAATGTTGTGTGTTGCTATTTGCCATATTTTTCATCTCGAAGATGGTCAGAGGAACTGAAAAATATATTTCAGTGTTTCATGATTTTTAAAATTGGGCAAGAATAGCAACAAATGAACCACCAGTGATGGGTTTGTCATGTTTTCATTTTGTCTTGTTTTCTCTAGGTAACAGTAATGTTCCTGGACCTATTTCTTTTAATTCTTTTATCCCTATGAGGAAATTTTAATTTTGAAGGTAAAAAATTAGGTTTCCTTTCAATTCACAGGAGTAACATTGGTAACTTTTTAAATGTATTATATGTCAATGAAACAGAGTAACTTGGCTGGATTCCTGAAATTCAGAGGAGAACCCAAACAGGAAAACAGATCCCGTTGTCTATGTCTTTTAAGACAAATGTTATTGGCAGATTTAATACTTGTGCCCTACGGCCAAGGAGAATGATCCAATTTTAGACTTCCTTTTTCCAGACGATGACACAAAAGCCAGCCAGAAAACAGTTTAACAGGCACAATGACTGGCTCAAGGAATGGAAAAATTCCCAAAATGTCATAGATATAAAATTTTTTGGGATGCATGCCATCAGTGACAAATCTAACATTCCTTTGATTGTGTTAGAATATCTGGCACTAACATTAAAACCACTGTAGTAGAGGTTTTCTTCTTTCAGAAACAAAATCAGGAATAGTGATTCCTCTGCAGGGCTCCAAGAAGAGTTAGTTTATAAGGTCAGGGAGAAAGTTCTTCTTTCTTGCCTTATTCTTTTCCTAGTAACTCTTTTCTCTTTGGGAGCCTTGGAAAACATTAATTTTCCCTATTGTATCAATTCATTTTGGGAATGTGTTTATTTACCTTTTTTTAAAAAATTATTTTATTTAACTTTATTTATTTATTTTTAAATTTGATCAGAGATGGACAGAGTGAGGAAGAGAGAAAGAGAGAGAGAGAGAGAGAAAGACACCAGGTCCGGGACTTGAACAGTCTGCCATGTTGGAATCCAGCACTCTTAACCACCACACCACCACCTGTCGGCCCCAGGCAAATATGTTTATTTTAAAAGTCTTTAATTATTTTACATTGTGCAATTGGTAGCAGCATTCGTTCTATTGTAATTTACGCATAGAACACCGGGCAGTCACTCATATTTCTTTCAAGAAATGACAACGTTCATGAAGCTGTGAAATTCCAACCCAAAGAGTAGGTCTCATGCCTGCAGAAGTCTGTGTAATTGCTCAGTGGAATTGATGTAGACACAAGGTTTGAATCGTCAGTTCCCTCCTGTCTCTGCTGTGTTACAGGGTTCATTGGCTATGCTCCGTATATTAACCGCATAGTGCAGCAGTGGAATCTCCAAGATAATGATGACGATCAGCTCTTTTACACTAAAATCTACATTGACCCCTTGAAAAGGGTATGTGGTAGCTTGCATTTTCTTTTTGTTTTCATTAGTGTGATTGTTTTGTATGTTATACTTTGTTAATGTGGAGGGTCAGAATCAAGGGATTTTACTGATATTGTTGGAACTGGAAAACTGAATTACAGAGTGTTCTAATCAATGATTATATGAGTCAATGAAATCAACTAGTAAAAATGTAAGATTTTTTCCCCCTCATTTGGCTAAGTCTCATTACTAGTTTATTTTATCCTTACCATTCCTCTTTGGTGAGCAAATCAGCAACACAGCCTAATTGGTTGGATCAGGCAGGACAAAAAAAAAAGAGAGAGAGAGAGATGGAAGACTCTCCTTTTCCTCTGTAATTATTTTGAAACATGTATTGAAATAGCTTAATGTAAAAAGGAAATGGCATCTCTATCCTGTGACAGCCCCACTTCCACTGTATACACACGTCCTTGTCCTTGTAATAACAGAGTAAGTTACACCGTCAAAGCTTTTGAGCCTGAAGATTTAAAGAGACAGTAATGAACTTCCAAAGATTCTTGAGACAGAATTCTGCCATGTTCATTAATAGCTATGGCACAAAGTAATAGCAATGTGTGTTCTTTTTACTTTGTCTTGTAGCTATGCTGATTTTTTTCCCTCCCACAGAAACTTCTCTGAAGGTATTCCATACTAGTGTACTCTTGGAACTAAAAATCTGTACACACACACACACACACACACACAGTGTATTCTCATTTGCAGTCCTTTTAACCTTGAAAAGCCTTTTGTATCTATATGAATTTCTTTGATCCTAAAAAAGTGAGAGCCAGATTTTGTAGCTATGCTTTGTCTGTAGGGGAACCGAGGGCACATTCTCAGTACTGAGACTGTAGAAACTGGATCTTAGGTTCCCTGATTACCAAGATCAGGATTTTCTTTCTGTTTCATAGGACATTGACTAATGGTATTTTCATGGCTAAATTTGTAAAATAACGACGTTTTTGGATCCTATGAAGTCATTGGGAATAAGGCCACTCAAAAGAGAGTTTGTCATTTTAAAATTCCCTGAGACACGACTGAGGTCACAGACCTCTTTCTGAGATTGGGAGCCTAGACACTGAAGGTGTGGAGGAAACACTGATGCCCAAAGCCCTGGTTGGTTTCCGAGAGGTTGATGGCCCAGAGTGGATAGGGCCTTTGGTATAGTAGGTTGGCTGTAATTCCTTTGGTAGATGCCCATGGGACTTTATGGCTGACTTGAGGACTTGGAATATTTGAAAATATGGAACATGGAGATTTACAGAGATAATAGTTTCCCAAGGAGTTAGAGAGATATGAATGAAGGTATCATGCAAATCTTATGCCCTTTATTAATAAGAATATTGCAGTTTTCATAAATACAGCAACCAAAAATAGTAGTAGCCTAAATAAGATAGATTTCTTTTTACTTTCTTTTTACCACTTTTAGAAAAATGAAGAGGTAGGCAACACAAGATTGTTATGGCGGCTGTGTAGTATCAAGAGGGTTAGTTGTTTGTTACTCCACCATTAGCCCAGTTTTCATTTTCAATGGGACCTCCTTGTCCAAGGTGGCTACTGGCACTCCAGCCATTGCATCCATATTCTGTGCAGCAAAAGGACAGGATAACAAAAATAAACCATCTCAATTTCATCAATTCTATTTAAGTGGTATTTCTAGAAGTCTCACAGAATACTTTTTCATACTGTCCTTTGACCAAAACATATTTATGTGGCTACACACAACACACAAAAGAAATTCTGTCCTTTCTTTCAAACTCATGTGCCCTATTGAAATCTGAATTTTATTATTAAGTGGAAGGATAGTCTGCTATAGGCTTTAGAACTTTCCTGAAGTTAGTTTAGGTATAACTTTGGAGTGAAATAAAACCAAAATTCTCTAATTTGAGAACATTTTTATCTACCAAATGTAGATATGCTTTATAAATTTACTAGATATAATTGATACAGTTCTAAAACGTCCTGTATTAGGTATTCGTGGCTGGTGTCATTAGGAAACAAGTAGGAAACAAGATATGTATGTGTGTGTGTGTGTGTGTGCATGTATTTTACAGATATTTTAACTGTAGCTTTTTATATGTCTTAGGTAAATATTTCAGTCATCTAAATATTTTCATTAGACACTATAAACTCTTAAGAATTTTAAACTTTAAAGTCCTCAAAAGAACAAACTATACCAATCTAATAGTGTTATTGCTGTATTTGTTGTCAATTTCATGATTATGTCTTTTATTATCTTTTAGGAAGCCATTAACATCACATTGGATCACAAATGCAAAATCTTCCAGACGTTAAATGGAGCCACAGGTATACTTGCTCAGCATTGGATTGTTTGTGTGTACCAACGAACAGCCTGTGTTCTCCACTGTCTTTCCTTCATAATGTCCACTTTGGGGCTATTGGGGTTTATAGTGTAGATATTACAACCTTTAAAAAATAGTGAACTGAATTGAACTTGATAGAAGAGTTCAGTACATTCAGGCAAAATTATTTCCAAAGACTAGTGTGGAAAAGATAAGCTTCTGGCCTTAGGTAACTTAAGATTTATTCTCTCTCCACCTGGGGACTGTAGACACATGTATGAATGAATTACACCTCATTAGTACACGTTTTTCCACCCAAGTTCTTTGTATCGTTAAGTGACACAGGGTGATGAGAGTAGATCTTTTTGACCTCGCTGAAAGGGAACTGGTGGTAACTCGACAGGCAGACTGGGAAGAGAGTGTGTGTGTGTGTGTGTGTGTGTGTGTGTGTGTGTGTGTGTGTACGTGTACTCGCTTGTTGTGTGTGCACTTGCATAGGAGCATATGCATGTGTGGCTGTGTGTGTGTTTTCCTAGAGATATGTAAATCTTGATGGAAATACATTAAAATAATTAATCAGTGCATTAGAAAAATCTTAATTCATTTAATGCATCAGTACGTTAAAATTTAAAAATGCATTGCAGTTCAATACAAGTCTTCAAGCCAGTTCATGCAGTAAAAAGAGTGAAAAGCATTTAGTTTCGAATGTTCATGAAATGTGAGAAAAGAATACAGAATACTCTGTCTGCTTCCAACTTGTGTATTTCTGGATAGTTGAACTAGATCTGATTCTTAAGGAATGGAAATACTATCTGTGGTTGCCCATTGTAGAAACCATAGTTATTCCAGGCAGTGTTCTGTTTGTAATATGTATAGTGTTACTTTTCCTTATAATAACCCTGCAAAGCAGGCACAGATCTCCTTTTATAGAAGAGTAAACTAAGACCACAATTTAATTCTGTGAGGATGTCATTTCTAGTAAGAGACAGAGGCAGGGTTGCAAAGATGCTATCTTTCCACCAAACAGCTCTGTGGCTGAGCCCCTCAATATTTTGCTTATGCCAGTTTGGAGTAAGGCCCACTCAAGTCAGTATCTTTGTCTTTGTCAAGGCTGTTCTTCATTCTGGGTATTGCTGACTTGGAATAGCCAATGTTTCTAAAAGTGTTGGCACATGGAATATTGTGTTCATCAGAAATTGTGTAATAAGAACACACACACACTGATACAAACATACATACAGATTTTAATTTACTAAAATTAGTTTTCTCTTTTTGACCCAGATGAAGTGGTTTTAAAATTTGAAAATGGCAAAGCTAGAGCTAAGAATACATTTTATGAAACATTACCCGTGACAATTAATGGAAATGGACCCACCAAGGTGAGTCACAGTGACTTTGATCTGTTTCTTGGGAGATCTAGAGCAATATGTGGAATGCTAATTTTTTCTTTCTTTTTAAAATGTCTTAAAAATGATTTATTTTGATGCCAATAGCAGTGGCCTCATCTTTTTTTTTTTCTTTTTAAAAATTTTGCCACAGGATACACACACTCACCAGAGAGGGGCAGAGAGAGAGACAGAGAGACCGAGAGAGAGAGGGGAAAGCAAGGAGTCTTCCCACCCCCATGGGAAATGGTAACTCTGCAATCCCTTCTCCTCTGCTTCTCATTCTGGTTGGGATTTTGGATATATATACACACATGCTTGGAGTATTTTGCAAGCCGTAGAATGCAGTCAGCAGTGTTGGGATCTAAGTGCCTTAATCACCACGCCACTGGCTGGTCCCTGGCTTCATCTTTTACTCAGTATATCATCTGGTTCCATCACTAATCAAATTGATGTTTTTTCCTTGGTAGAGGACTAACTTTTCATCCTGTTTATAGCACATTATACATTAATGTTTTATTTAATAGCAGCTAATTTGAGAGCAAGCCACATTTCCTTTGTACAGGGTATCCTATCTAAATAGAAACTGTTCAGGTTCATTAAGGGACCATTTGTTTCACCAGGCTTGCCATTTTCTACATTAGCAATACTGTACGCTTCCTCTTACACTTATTGTACACCAAATGGAGGGATATAATTTGACTAATGAAATTCTGGATCCTGGGGCCAGCAGGTGGTGTGGTTGGAGGTGCTGGATTTCCACGTGGCTTACCGCAGTTCCAGTCCTGGTCCTGGCAGCTTGCTTTCTCACTTTCCCTTTTGATCTCTCTCTCTGTCTCTCTCTGGTCAAATTTGAAAAATAATAAAAACAACAAATGGAATTAAATATTTCTTTAAAAAAAGAGATTCTGGATCCTTTTTTGTGTGTGTGTGTCAAATATACATAGGTGAGCTGGTGAACAAATTCTGTTACAAAATTTGTAGAAGATAAGTTCGTATTGCTTATCTAATGAACACAGAACTCAAATAGCTTTGAAAACCCTGCAGCAATATGTGCTTAAAACAATGTGCTGACATGCTGAGATGCCTGGTTTACTCAGAAGTACCCAGGAGAGAGATTCCAGGTAGATTGGTGTTATAGGAAGAGCAGACAGAGAATGTGGTCTGCTGCGTCAAAGGGTAGAGAAGAGCTAGAGGCATGGGAAGAAACTCCAGGGAAAGCCCACAGTGGGAGCTTCTGCATCTGGAGGAAGTCCATCTTCTGCTCTCTAGTTAATCTTCCCCCCTTTGCTTTTCATGCCATTCCAGCCTGACTCCAAAGCAGACAGCAGGCTTCTCCTTTTTGAATCTTGTAATCTATTTCCCCAGCTCCGTTCTCTCCTTATCACCATCTGAAGACCCTCGAATTTTTGCCATCCCATGAACAAAAACCAAAAAGCAAACCAAACAAAAGCCAAAATAATGGGCTTTGCCTTCCATCCTGCACCTGTTCATTGTGTCCACAGTCAAGTTTCTCACCGCCACCACAGCGCCTTCCTCCCCCACAGGAAATGCTCTTGCAGAGACAGCTGCGGTGTCCTGTTGAGTAGTGGATGCACTTCCGATCCTACCTAGTCCATTTGCTTAACGATTTCATTTGACAACAAAAAAAATGACTGGTTATAAACTTAAATTGGTATAATTTAAAAACCCGAGAAAAAGTGGTGTGCTGGAGCTCAAAGTTTACTTCCTAATATTTTGTTAAAGTTGAGTAGATTCACAGGAATGTATGACTTATGCCCCTGTCCAGGCAAATGGACAAAGAAAACAGATGGTTACAGACTCTTTTTTTTTAAAAAAAAAAAAAAAAAAACTTCATAAAACTTAAAGAGATTTGATTGTATGAATTTTTATAAGTTAGTTTCACTTGTTATTTAGTGTAGTCAGTGATAATTGTCAGGTCAGTGGTTTTGAGTCATATTACTAAACTGAATGGTAACACTTAAGCCATTATTTAGTTTAAAATCTATAAACGATAAATTATTTACAATATGTTCATAATAACAAACCATATAAAAGTGAGTTTATTACTCTTTCTAAATCTCATGCTATTAGGATAATTAGGGGCTTGCAGGTGGTGTTGTGGTTAAGGCGCCAGATTCCCACATGGCTGACTGTGGTTTGAACCCTGAACCCGGCCACTTGCTTTCTCTCTCTCTCTCTCTGGTCAAATAAATAAATAAGTAAATAAAAATAAGTAATTTCTAAAAAAAAAAAAAGAGAGAAAAGAAAGAATAATTGTAAAATAACAATTTTAAAAATCATTATAATCTACTACCTTTTCAAATAGTACTCATTCATAGATGCTTTGAAATTTTCTGTCGTTTCGTTGTATACCCAACAAGCGTTCATAGATTTCATTTGTTTCATAATGGTGCATGAACAGTTTTGTGTATTTCAATTAACATTTCATTTGAGACATACTTCTGTATTTATTCATTTATTTATAATGCATACTTTTCACATTTGTTAGGTTCAGTTTAATACAAAACACTTTTTAGAAAGCAACTATGATTTCTCGTTTGAAGCTGTTTTTATCTTCATTTGCCTTAGGACACATGTGCTCACTGGAGAGTAAGAGAGAGATATATAATGAGGGGGGAAAGTGAGAAATCACCCTCCTGTGGGGGATGGCTACACTGCAATTCCTCCTCTTTCATTCTCCTCCCTGGATCGTGCTTATGCACGCACAGCCCAGCGTGAGTTTTAAGCAGCCTGGTCTAGGACTTGAACTGTGGAGTCGAGTGATGTAACCGCTACACAATGTGCTGGCCCGTGTGTGGTATTTTAGATAGTCACATTACATCCTGATCCTCCTGCCTCAGCCTCCCCAGAAGCTGGGACCACAGGTGTGTGCTTTAGTTTTTATTCTCGAAGCTCATTTCTGCGCACGCCTGTGTGTGTGTGTCTGTGTGTGTGTGTGTAACATAGCTTAAGATGCTTTTTAAAAAGAAGGAAAGAAGGAAAGGCTTTAGTTGGAAAAGTTTCTCTGCCAATGAAAATGACATCATTTGTGGAAACATTCTGATACTGTGAAAGGAGACTCAGGAAAATACTACCACCTAGTAGCGAGGGGATGCCCAGAGCAGCCTAACTACAGAAACAGTTTTCTGCACCTCCAAAGCTGCCAGCAGAGATGTCTGCAGTTTTTATGGAGAAAACAGATGTTCCTGGGAGAGGGGAGGGTGTAGGACTTCTGTCTGTGTGGTGCAAGAGCCAAAAGAGGCTCTTTTCCAGTCATCGGTAGTGTTTTCAAAACATCTTAATTATCTCTAAAACAAATTAAAAGCAGAAAGTAGAAAAGTTACGAAATCAAGTTTCAATTTTGAAAGCTAAAAGGAATTCTTTTTTATGGTTTAACCTTTTAAAAATACTCATCACCGAATCCAGACTCGGTGGCACAGCTGTGAAGCCCCATGTTTTACAGACTGACCCACATGGAAAGTTTGGGTTCATATCCTGAGACCTCCCTGGGTATATCAGGTGTATTCGAGCCCATGGTCTGGGGCTGGCCAAATCTTGGGATAGATCACAGCATGAAGACTTTTGGGGTTCCGTCTCTGTCTCTGTCTCTCACTGCTCTTTAGCTCATGGAAGTAATAAGTAAAAGTAAACTTTAAAAATACCGATCATTTACAAATCCACACAGGGGATTATTAGACTTATCAATAATTACTGAAGTAAATGTGAATTACTTTTTTAGATTTCTGAGATGAGGGAAATGAGCCAGGTTTTTTTATGGGATGAGGATTTTAGTTATGACCTGATGTTTGAGTTTATTTTTCCTTCCTTTGGAAAAAAATTCTTTTCTGGGATATGTTAAATGAAACTATGTAGTATGAACTACGTATGTAGTATGAACAGACTTGCTTTTAAAAATATTTATTAAAAATGATGCTTAATAAAGGATCCCTTGTTACATAAACTTCTTTTTTATTTCCTTCTTTCAAAACCATAATATTTCGTATGACACGAGTGATTAAATTGCTAAACGTATTTGTCATTCGAAACTAAATTTTTTATTTCTTTTCTTTCCTTTTTATTTTAAGGTTTTTTGTTTGTTTGTTTTTTTGCTGTAGCACATATGCTCTAGCCAGAAAGAGATGAAGAGAGACAGAGAGGGGAATTGAAAAAGCACCCTCCAGAGGGGATGGCCACACTGCTGTCCCCTCTCCTTCACACTCCTGTCAGGATTTTGGGCACTCACGCACATGTGTCCGCTGTAATTTTTAAGCCACTGGGTCCAGGACTCCAAGCACATTTGGCCATGTAAGAGTCCAGCAGTTTAATCACCATTTCACCTGCTGTTACACCAACCTTTACTTCTGTTTTTTATTATTAAGGCACATTAAAATGACCACATTGACTCTTGAAATATCATTAATGAATGTCATGATTACATGTTTCCTACCTTGTCATTTATTTCCTCAATGATCATGTTGCCAAAAGAAATATGAATGGATTACTTTGTCTTCTGATGTTGCTACAGAGATTAAATGCAGCTATACCTGCAATATGTGTATAGCACAAACATTTTCCCAGTTAATTATGTAGTTGTTTAAGCAGTGTTTGTTTCCAAGTCCCAGTATAATAGAAATGTGAGTGCAGGTATTTGGGAGAAATCTAGTAACTAGTATTGAACTAGCTACTTCATTGTATGCTTTAAGATCACTTTTATGACCTGGGGCAGCTAAAAATAATTCTAACTGGCACTTCTGCGTTTTTGGTTTTTTTTTGACTTTCATATTTAATACAGAGACTTCTTTCTTTTGACTCCATTGTACCTTCACAGTGAAAAAGTAATGATTATTTAAGCTTAGGGAGGATTTTAATAGCTTCTTTTAAACAGTCATGTACAATAACAGCCAAATCTGTGTTATAGTTTCATTGCCTTGAGGTGAAATAATAATTTGTGGAAAGAAAGAATAGCAAACAACCAAAACAGGAAGTTCTAGTAGGTATTAACATTGCAGGAGGTGCAGTAATGTTATTATTTACTAGTGAGCAGAAATTTCCCTAAGATATTCAAGGCATTTTGAGGGGTTCAGAGCAAATCTGAGCAATTTCCCCTCTCTTCCCCCAAGTCTTTCGTTATACCCACCAAAACACACACCAGAACACAGATTTTATGAGTAAAATAAATGCTCACAGCTGCTTGAGAGAGGGAGCTAAGTCACAAAGCAGATCCTCAGAGATCTGCAAGGGGAGGGTCGGAAAGCAGTTTTGTACGTGAGCTTATGGCTGGCAGGACTTGTGAGCTGTAGTTAGGGGTGCACCAGTGCCACAATCTGTAGGCTACCTTTTCTCGTCAGTGCCTAGATCCATGCCCAGGAGCCTGAAGGAGCGTAGTAGCTTAGTTTCCTGAAAAGCTTTATGCCTTTTGGTGATCTGTTTATTCAGTATTGGTTTTGTGTTGGTGGACGGTCACATCACCACTGCCCCATTTACTCTGGGTGTCTGTGCTGGGCCTTCGAACACTTTTCTCTCATTCCTTAATCACTGTTCACATGAGTCTTAATTTGTGTTCTGCTAATACATCTCATTAGTCCGTTTAAAATGATGTTTTGTTGTTCCACTTATATTTCTTTTCTATTGTCTTTTTCAGTGTGATTCCTTACTTAGTATGAAATAGAATGACCTTTGCGATTTTTAATATTTTTAGATTTTTATTTTTATTTTATTTATTTTATTTTGGAGAGGATTTTGGTATAGAGCATGTGCACTCACCAGAAAGAAAGAGAGAGACAGAAAGCGAGAAATCACCCCCCAGGGGAGATGGCTACGCTGCAATCCCTTCTCCTCCACTCTCCTCTTGGGATCTTGGGCACACACGCACACTTGCCCGGCATAAGTTTAAGTCACTGGGCCTGAGACTTGAACCTTGGTTGACTACATGGCAGTTCAGCGATATAGCCATTAGGCCAACTGCTGGTCCCAGATTTTTAGATTTTTCATTTCTAGACATAGTTTGCCTTGCTTTTGCATTGATTGTCTGGAAGCCAGCAGGTAGCTTGGTGGTTAAGGGCGCTAGACTCCCACGTGGTCGACCACAGTTTGAGTCCCAGACCTGGCGGCTTGCTTTCTCATTTTTTCTTTCTTTCTCTCTCTCAGTCTATCCCTCTCTGGTCAAATTAAAAATAAATAAATAAATGGATAAATAAAGTTAAATAAAAATAATTCCTAAAAAAATGGATTGGACAATACTGTTCAGTGTGCACCTCTAGGTGATAAATGTTAGTAGAACTGTAAAAGGAAAGTGCATAGTGATGAAAACATCCTTTGACGTTAGATGCTTATAGACTAAGAACGTTGATAAGAGAGGCTTACTCTTGTTAATAGCCCTTTTCTTCATTTATTAGATTCTCCTGAATTATTTCGGAAACTATATACCTAATTCATGGACACAGGAAAATGGCTGTACTCACTGTGAATCTGATACAATCAACTTGTCTGCAGTAGATGTAAGTGAAATCGACTGGGTGAGGATTGTAGTAATAAAAATTACATTTTCAGGGCAGCAGGTGTGATGGTGGTTGGGTTGCTGGACTCCCACATGGCTAACTGTGGTCCAAGTCCCAGACTGGGCCACTTGAAACTCTCACTGGGCATGTGTGCCCAAAATCCTAAGAGGAAAATGGAGGAGAAGGGATTGTGGTATAACCCTCTCCCCTAGGGGTGATTTCTCACTTTCTCTCTCTTTCCTCGCTAGTGAGTGCACACACCCTATAACAAAAATCTCTGTCCCCCCGCAAAAACAGTACATTGTCATGAAATTCAGTGGTTTACAGGAAAAAGGAAAATTATTTTTAGTTTAGATTGTGTGTTAGATAATGAATTTACAATGTTTAACTCAGTGATTCAGAAAATTGCTAGAATTTGTATTTAATCATTTTAAAAGAATTATTTAATTTTATTAATTATTATTCTTATTTTTTAATTTCCTATGGGGCACGTGTGCTCACCAGAGAGAGAGAAAGAGAGAGATGGAAAGTGAGAAAGCAAGCTACAAGTCTGGGACTTGAACTGGGGTCAGCCATGTGGGAGTCCAGCACCTCAACCACCATTCTGCCTGCTGACCCTGTGTTAGTTAATCTTTAATACATAGCTTGCTATGATTCAGTATTTTTATGTTATTTTGGTTTGTTAGCTTGGTCAATTCATTGTGAAAGAATGGTTATAATCATCATTTTTATTGACTGATTATATCTGTGTTTGATTTTCAAAGTTGATGGTTTAGAAATATTAAAATGTCATTGTAATAACTAAGTTCTTTTCTAACTACTGTACATACTGTAACTTGTTTAAACATAGGAAAGCCCCTAAAGACTAGTACTGTGCGGGGACCAGCAGTTAGCGTAATGGCTATGTCACTGGATTCCCTTGTAGTCGACCGAGGGTCGTGTCCCGGACCCAGTGGCTTAAAACTCATGCTGGGCACGTGTGCGTGCTTGCCCAGGATCCCAAGAGGAGAATGGAGGAGAAGGGATTGCGGCGTGACCATACCCCTGGGGGGTGATTTCTTGCTTTCTGTCTCTCTGTCTCTGTCTGTCTGTCTGGCAAGCACACACGCCCTATAGCAAAAACCTCTTAAAAAAAGAAAAGAAAAAAAGAAAGACTAGTACTGTGTCAATACTATTTACAGATGAGAAAAGTGAAGTACAGAAAGATGAATAACTTGCTTAAGGGCACACAGGGAAGTGTTTGAGTAAGGATTTGAATTTAGATAATCTGGTTTCAGACCCTAGGTTCTTGATCATTGTGCAGTTTTTGCCTACACATCATCTAATTTATGCTGGACATGGTGCCACTTATATTTATAAGGAGACTTCAAAAAATACAAATTAATTTTTGTGCTAAAAAAGTGAACTAGATTCATAGATTTTTTTCATGGTACACATCATGAACTTTTTGAAGACTCCCCTCATGGTTCATAAATTATAGTTATATTTTATCATTTATACTTGAGGGTAAACATGTACTTGGAAATATGTATTATTTATCTCTGAAATTTTTTTTGAGAGGTTTTTGCTATAGGGCACATGCACTCGCCAGAAAGACAGAGAGAGACAGACAGAAAGTGAGAAATCACCCCCCAGGGGGGATGGCCATGCCACAATCCCTTCTCCTCCATTCTCCTCTCAGGATCTTGGGCACGCACACACACGCGCCCGGTGTGAGTTTAAGCCACCAGGTCTGGGACTTGAACCGCAGTCAGCTCCATGGGAGTTCAGCGACATAACCATTATGCTAACTGCTGGTCCCTATGAAGTATTTTTTTATTGATTCTTGTTCTGACATCAGCCAGAGCAGATTTAGGATATCTTGTAGTAATATCATTCTTCAAAAAAATATAGCTTTAGTAACTTGGAGGAATATGAAGTGTATGAACAGTTGGTTTCTAGGACTGACTTTTGTCATTAAGGCTGATTCTTTCTTTCATTCACCATAGGTTTTTCTGAGTACCTACAGCTTGCCAGCTAAGTAGAAGTAATACAGACAAAAATAAATTCTCAGGACTAGAGTTCTGGGCCCATGCAAATGCTAAATGCTTTCATTTAGACACTCATGACCCTGAATTAAGTAGTTCCTAGTCTTATCACTGTCTGAAAGAGAATAAAGGATAACTTATGTACAGTTAGAAGCTTCTAAATAGAGCCTTATTTCACTTGAAAATAAGACATTTTGGCCAGTCTCTCAAATAACAAACCAAATGTTTTCTATCTGGAAAGAATGCCAGAGTTTTTCTGAATGAAACTGCATGATGAAGATGTTTAAAAATTCATCCTGATCTCTTTTGCAGAAAGTAGTGGCCTGGTCTGGAGGGGGAATTAAGACTTTTATCTGAATTTTCTCTTTTTACATAAACTTTTTGGTACAAAGATAGAAAAATATCTGTATGAAAATATGTATTTATGGGGCCGGCAGGTGGCGTGGTAGTTAAATGCACTGGACTCCCACATGGCTGGCTGACTGTGATTTGAGTCACAGACCTGGTGACTTGCTTTCTCACTTTTCTTCTTTCTCTCTCTCTCTCTCTCTCTCTCTCTTTCACTCTGTCTCTCTCTGGTCAAATCAAAATAAATAAATAAAAAGTTAAATAAAATAACTCTTTTCAAAATATGTGTTTATTTGTGTATGTTTGAGTAAATCAGTTCTTAAGCTGTTTTGTCTCACAGCCTGTTAAAATATACTAAAATGTGAAATACATTTATGTGCTTTCTATCTGTAGTAATCATGGACTAAGGACATACAAATGAAAACTGTGTGGGAAGTTAAGGTTCAGGTCTGCCATCTTTTTAGATGTGGGCCACAGGCAAGTTTCTTTATTTGTAGAAATAATAGTGCCCATTTTGGTGTGCTGGTGGGACAGTTGCTCAGATGAAATTTTAAAAATATCATTCAGAAGAAGTTCTTCAAGGGCTAAAGGAAGCAATAACTAGTAGAGTAGGAAATTTTACATACGTGTACAATGATGAAGATATAAATGACATTTATATGTATAAATACATGTATACCTATTACATATGTACAGGTAAGTAAATATATAAGTATATGTAAGTACACATTCATACAAAGGAAGGGGTCAGGTTTCAAGTAATGTTAACTGTAGCATTATTATTGTCATATAAAAATGAGCTTAGAGGGACCAGCAGATGGTGTAATGGTTATGTCACTGGACTCCCATATAGTTGACCATGGTTTGAGTCCTGGACCTGGAGGCTTAAAAGGCTTAAAATTCACGCAGGGTGTGTGTGCGTGTATGCCCCAAATCCTGAGAGCAGAATGGAGAAAAAGAGATTGCAGTGTGGCCATCCCCCTTGGTGGGTGATTTCTTGCCTTCTGTCTCTCTGTCTCTCCAGTGAGCGCTCATGCTCTATAGCAAAAAATCTCTCTTAATAATAATAGTAATAAAAAGAACTTAGATTAATAAGGGAGATGTAGTGTGTTGAAGCCCAGATCTGTAGGTACAAGTTCATGTGTTCTGGGTTAATTAACTCTCATTTCTCATTTGTAAATTTAGGATCATAGCTTCTAAGGCTATTTATTATGAAATTTAAATAAAATGTATTATCTAGTTTGATAAGGGAGAGGTGTTTTTTTTTTTTTTTTTTTTCCATGAGGTCACCA